AAAACTCGTCAAACTATTAGCATCCGCATCCGCAAAAATAGGTTCTTCATGCTCTCTATGTGTAAGGGCATAAACTTGAGGTCAAATAGGCTATCTCGGATGTCGCTAAGTTTGAGCTAAAGAATTTAACTCTATCTTCTTTTTTCCACTTACACTCTTCCATGAAAGAGCTCAGCATGGTTTTTATTCTTTTGAGGTCTTATGGCCAAGTGTTGGATAATATCTAGCTATGTGACCAGGTTGATGACATAAGTAGCATGTGTTGGAACCCATCAAACATTCACCCTTATGCTATCTTCCACGTTTGACATATGAAACTACAATATTAAGAGTTGTGCCACTGCTAAATTCACCAAAAGTGAACTTGGACTTTTTCCAATTGGATCACTATGATTGGGTTATGTGTTTTCCATCATTCATTCTTTTTCTAGTATGCATTTTTTTATGCTTGTAAGTAAGTTGACGATCAACATCCACTTATTTGGCTCGCTCCATTAACACTAAATAATAATCAATTCCCAATGTCATCAATGACTAATTCATTGAATCCTTCAATTAAAAAAAGAAAATCTTCAACATTTCTCTTCTACAATAGAAATAGATTGTGATGCATGCGCTTCAATCTCCTCGATTACATAAGGCTTTGTTGAAGCATATAATATCAACAGCAAGCATGTGCCTATTCGCAATAACATGTATTGATGATAATGAAGAAGGCAAGCATCATCCTTCGTGTCAATGATGACCAGTGGTGTAGATCTCAGTGATGTATGTAGGTTACAAACATATGCTTGTTAGCAATGGTGTGCATCAATATTTGTTTTGATGATGAGCATGACCTTGATGGAAATAATGGACATCGATATTAGTTGCTTAAAAACGCATATATACGGTGTTTGTTGGTAGAGCTTTGGATTAGCTCTTTTGACATTCTTTTTATGGCCTTATTTATGAATATTCACATTCATGAAATTCAATTTATATACTTTTGGATAGGAATATGCTAGCTATTTCAGCTAAAAGTCAAAATGCTCTATTACATGTGTGTCGTTCCTCCTTATATAACTATTTGTAAACATCTCCATGCCTTAGTTATATAAAGCAATCACGAGCTCATAGAATCATCTCATTGTGATGCTCAATTCAAGTATAGAACATATAAGGCTTGAAGATTGTTTGTGTAAGCACCGAAGTTACCTTCTCCACGCCCAAACTTTTTTTTTTTTCTCAAGCTATCACGCGAAGGAATCTCCCCTTGCCTTTTCGCTACTTTCCCGATTTGTCTCCCGCATTGCCATGCCACCTTCCCGAATTAACCGAACCACAGCCTCGCTGCGATATAAGATAGCGTGGAGGCATAGCACTCGCCCCACCTCGCCTTCTCCTATAGTACTCTTCCAAAATCTTTGTCGACCCCCTCCTGTCTTTCCTTCCTGCTCCCGTGCCCGAATCCATTGCCATACAGTCGCGATTGGAGCTAGCTGGGGAAGTAACGACGGGATCGTCACATAACAGGACCATCGAAGCTCCAACCTTTCTAGTCCTTCGAACCATCGCGGTAAGCGCGATCAGAGCTAGCGGTGAAGGTAACGACGAGATCGTCGCGTGCGGAGGCGACCCGGTCCCTACTCCTTTCGTTCGCCCCTACTCGAAACCGTCAAGTAATCCTCATCTTTCCTTACTCTCATCAGCCTCTCTGACTCCCGTAATCCCTCGTCCGACCGCGCACATTTTCTGCCACGCAGGTTTTTTTTTCAGACGTACCTTGCAGTTTATTCTTATTTATTATTTCTGGTTATTTATAATAATCACGAAATAATTTAAAATTCTCAATTATTTATTACTTATTTCAGAATTATTGAAAATAACTCATAAAGAATCTGAAAATAACTTATGAATATCCCGTGCCGCACGTAGAGCTACGTCAGCGTACCTTGCAGTTTATTCTTATTTATTATTTCTGGATTATTTATAATAATCACGAAATAATTTAGAATCCTCAATTATTTATTACTTATTTCAAAATTATTGAAAATAACTCAAAAAAATCTGAAAATAAATTATGAATACCCCGTGCCGCACGTAGAACTACGTTAAGAGTTCGCACAGACAAATTTTTGCGTCCGACCATACCCCTGATCCGAAATTTAACGCAAAGCAAAGGGGAGGCGGGATTTAAGGAACTATTTAAAATATGTTTTTATTGGTTATTATGTTATTTTATACATATAATTTCTCCTAAAAAATATTTTCAGATACTATTTTTCTCCTCCTTATCAAATCAAATAAAATTCAAATATTATTTTAATTATGTTAGTCAAGACAATGTTTATAATTTATTTCCTTAAATATATTATAATAATAAATTAATAACACTATAAATATGTGAGTAATGGTGACACTTAACTATATAATTTATCGTAATTATAAATTATTATATAATCAATAGTTGAATTGTCAGATTCATAGAAGCATCGTGTTTGTTTCCTGAGAATAAATAATTATTTTTTATTCTTATCTTTGCTAATCGTACTTTTATCACTCGCACCTCTTTAAATTTTGTTCGTATAATATTAGTAGTTTCTATTTTTGTTAATTGTGATTTAAATGTGTGATTAACTTTATTTATTAATGTTTTATCTTGCATTTAATTGTTTAAATTTGATGATTTTAATATTTATTATGTCTTTTATAGTTTGTTGTGTTTGTAATTGTTTATAAATACTGCTGGACATTTTTTAGTTATATTGTCATATTTTAGTTGTGATGCATGAAATATAACTAATATTATAATAATATTGTATTGGTATTAAACTATTTTGTTATGACAATCCGAATCGATAGTTCCTCAGAGAAATCAATGAATTTTCTTTAAATTGATGATTAACTTTTATTATTTCATAGTTTTGTAATAAACCGACTATATATAAATATAATTATATATGTTTTATGTATATAATGAAATTATATATTATTATATGATATTAAATAATTGATTAGTTGTATATATTATTATATGATATTAAATAATTGATTAGTCCGGTGCAAAACACCTCATATTGCATCATGTAAATATATTTATAAAAAGATGTGTTCAAGTCACTTTTATTCATGATCATAAGCATGTCATAACATTTGTAAATTCTTCTATGCATGTAATAAAATGCCCCGATTTTATTGACACATTGTATGCCCAAATTTTTTTAGTTGTTATTTGTTGAGTTTGATTTTCAAACTCACCAATTGTTATTTCACCCAGCCACATACCTGATCCTCTTCACCAAGACGGGCTTTATATATTTAGATAGTCTTTTAGTCTTTTTTTTTTTTTTTGCATGATTTATTATATTTTCTTTCTCAGTTTGATAGTTGTTTTCATATTTTCATTTTAATTTATTTCGCACGTCAAATTTTCTTTTATTTGTATCAATTGTAGTCTTATTTATAAAATAAATTAATTCTTTTATTTCTTTCTATTATTAATTTATTGCTCTTTTATTTTTTAGAATGCAAAGCAATATCCGGGGTCTGACTGTTTAATCCTTCAACTTACGTTAGGAAAATAACTAACATAATATTTTAAACATTTTTAGTATCATCTCGCCAAAGTTTTAATTTCAACTATGAACGACAAAAGAAATTCAAATGATCACTAATTAAAATTGTAAGTTTTAAATTCTACTAGCTAGCATATTTAGATGCAAGAGTTTTGTTTAGACCTATACTTGATTGCATGTTTTTTTTTTTAATGGCCTAAAATATATATTGACTACATGAGTGTTAATCACAACATGTTAAAAGATAAAGACTCAATGAATAAAAATGAAATGGCAACAAGATAATGAAGATTATACAATTGAATAAATGATACAATAACAATGTAATTTTTTTATTATTGGCAAACAAAAAATTATTAGTGGCAAACAAAAAAAAAAATACAAATTTTTTTATTTAAAAATATTTAATGATAAATTAAATTAATGATAAATTATATAAATAAAAAGAGTCATTCAAATATGTTTTTTTCAAAATTTTTACACAAAAAAAAAAATACGACTATTATTTTATTAATATATTTTATATCAATCTCCAATAGAATGAACCCAAAAAAATAAAAAAAAAATTATGGAACATAAATATTATATGTCAAAAGAAAAAACCAACATACTTAATAAAATTTTTGAATGATATTGTGATGTGTTTGAGATGATTTAAAGGAAATGCTACTCTTAGTGAAGTATTTTTTTAAAATAAATATGGACTTAAAATATATTATTCTAAGATGAGGACATTATAAAATTTAATTATATATTATTTAATCAAAAGTTGTATGGTAGATATATTATCTAAATAACAGTAGTCGAAAGAGAGAGAAGAGGGTGAACATTAAATAGTGAGAGAGTCCAAGCGAATAGTAGGGGCATAAATGAGGTTACACTTATGTCATCACACATATTATTATTTTATTATATATTACTTAATGTTCTTATCAAACAATTGAATTCAAATGAAAATATTTACATAAATACACGATGACCCATATTTGAAAAAAGTATTGATCGTGTGAATGAGATAAGTGCAAATTAGGCATAGATTGTTGATACATTACGGTATTGTGATAGAATCATGATATAATACCATTATAATACCCAAAAAATGCCACTAATTCTCCTATATCGTGTCCACGCATAATACTTGTTCCATGAACTGGCCAAAATTTGGAAATGATATTATGTCCGGACATCTACACGCCCGAACAAGCAACCACCGGGCGCCACTTGTCGATGAGATGTATGACAACGTGGCCCCTGGTTATTATTGACAGTCTAAAGGTAAAGGATGAAGTATTTTCTCAAAAATTTGGGTGCATGCATGCTAAGAAAAAGCACCGGTTCAAAATTTTCGAAAAATAAACCCGGTCGTGACACGAATTACTTTCTCCCGCGAAAAGACCTCTTTCGCGCCAAATTGAATGTGCAGAAGCAATCCATAAACCAAAGTCCTATCGAATCTGATTGCTAGGTGACTGTAGATCTCTTGGACGAGGAACAGTCGAAGAGAAGAGATCAATATCGCGATGAAAGGGAGGACTGTGAAGCTGAAGGAGGCGCATCGGGTAAACGGAACCGCATCTTTCTGCTCAATTCTCTGGGATCACAATGGAAGTTTTATTGTAACCGCCTGCGCCGGCGATCCCACCGTCTTCATCCACGAAGGCGGTCACTCAGCAAAGCCGGCCAAGGCTCTCCGCCATCATCGGGAAGGGGTGACCGCGGTTGCCCTAAATCCTACTTCCGACACCCTTGCTTCCGGATCCATCGACCATTCTGTCAAACTTTATAGTTTTCCAGGTTATTTCACCTCACGAATTTTTTTCCTTTGTTTTTGAAGTCGATGGTTTTGTCATTTCCTGGAATTTAATTTGACTGTAAATTTTATCAGGCTAAATTTTGCAAGAAAATGCCTGCCTTATTTTGTTTGAATTTTCAGAGTAAAAGGAATAAGTAAATATTTTGAGATCAGCTTAAACTAATATTCATTCAAATGGTCTTAGATATACTGTCTCCAGTTGAAAGGGCCTTGCTCCTTAAATAGCAGCTTGAAATGCAGGCGGCAATGAAGAGATCGAGACTGAACTTTTTAAATAAGTTTTAAGAGCCAGGATCAATTTTATATATGTTCTGTAATCAAATTCACATAAACCCAATATAAGAACAAGTAGAAAAGTTAGCTCTTTTGGCGTTAATTCAGCTATTACTTTGGTAGAACCTACTGAAAAACAATTGCAACAAACAAGTATGGTAACTCAAACTCATAAAACATGAATAGAAAGGATTTATTATATAATGCCAAGATGCCATACACCCACACACATAATTTGGTTTTTCGTGACGTCTCAAAGCAATGAACTAATGATTTTGTTGAGGATCTTTTGCTTCTTTAGTTATTATTAAAAGTGTTTTCTACATTCATATAATTATTGTACTAGGCATGAACATTCTACAAATCTCTAACAAGCATCCAATACCAGCATTGCAATTATATATGAATAGGATTTGTAAAGTTAAAATCAATGATATTCAATAAAGGCAGTCCACATGAAAATATGTCTTTCTATTATATGAATTTATTTAAAATATAAAAATTGAAGTTTTATTATGAATATGAAACGAGGTTTACTAACATATAATTGATTAACAAGGACATCACTTCAAATTGGATTTTGGTTTTTCTACAGATGGGGAGTTTCAAAGCAATGTTACAAGATTTACCTTACCAATTCGTGCTCTTGCATTCAACAAGTCTGGCAGCTTGTTGGCCGCAGCTGGTGACGATGACGGCATTAAAATGATTGCTACTATCGACAGTTCAATCTCAAGAGTTCTTAAGGGTCACAATGGTTCTGTTATAGGCCTATCCTTTGATCCAAAAAATGAATTTTTAGCATCAATTGATGGGTTTGGAACTGTGAGATATTGGGAACTTTCCTCAGGAAAAACAGTCCATACTTTAAAATCTGTAGCTCCTAGCTGTGATTCAGATGCCTCGCTTCTGAATGTTCTTTCTTGGAGCCCTGATGGAGAGACTTTAGCTGTTCCAGGTTTGAAGAATGATATTGTGATTTATGACAGAGTTACGGCTGAAAAACTGTTTACTTTGAAAGGAGACCATGAGAAGCCTGTTTGCTTCTTATCTTGGTCTCCCAATGGGAAGTACATTGCAACTTCAGGCTTAGATAAGCAGGTCTTAATCTGGGATGTTGATCAGAGGCAGGATATTGATAGACAGAAATTTGATGAAAGCATATCTTGTTTCTCTTGGAACCCTAATTCTAACGCATTGGCTGTTATTGATGTTATGGGTAAATTTGGTGTTTGGGAGAACCCGGTTCCTTCCTTCATGAGGTCACCTACAGATGGTGCCATTAATCTTCAATCAAGGAATGGAAACGGTCTCCTGTTGTTTGAAGTCAATGATGAAAAACCAAGCCATTCTGGAAGTTTAGATGAAATTATGGAAGAAAGCCATGGAGAATCCATTCCTGTTAGCAGTAAAAGATCGAGGAAACATTCGGTACTCGATAAATCTGATGAAGATAGTGATGAGTTCCATGAGCAAATTGTGTCGCGTAAGAGGTCTGCGAAAAGGAAAGAGCTTTTGAGATTTGGAGGTGGAACAGAAGAGTGCGAAAGTTCAATTCGGGCTGTCAGGCCAAAATTACAGGAGGCGTTTCAACCAGGTTCCACTCCTGTGCAGGCGGGCAAGCGAAGGTTTCTTTCTTACAACCTGCTTGGAAGCATAACCACAATTGAAAATGAGGGCTACTCCCATATTGAGGTGAAGAGACAATCTTTACATACATACCCGCCCAATTCTTATGTATTTACATATCTGACACCTAAACTTTGATTTTTACAATTATATATCAAATGAAAAATGCCACATTTTTAATTTTTGAAAAGTGAGTGATACGAGAATTCATCACACAGTGAAGGGAAAACAAATATGATTGCTGAATTCAAATAAGAAATTTCAACAAGATAATATAGAAATCTGAAATTGTAACAAATAACAACACAATATTAGCCTTAGGGTTGAATCTAGGGTGTAAGTGGTGTCGGCTAGGGGTTGGGCCTCTGGAGAGGTAGCAAAGGGAAGGGTAGTAGGCTGAAATGCGTGGTGGCAACAAGGGGGAGTGGCAGCATAAAGGGGGAGATGGCAATAACAAGGGAAGGCAAGGAATTGTCGGAACAACAAATGAATTTGCTTTCTTGGGTGGCGAGGACATGGGAAATGGGGGCGGAAACAACAATAACATAAAATTTTGCTATCCCAGGTGGAAACAATTATAAATCGGAGGTCATGAGCAATGGCAGGGAAGACACGTGAGGTATGGGGTGGCGACAACACAAGTGAAGCGGCGAGGGAAAGGAAGCCTGTATGGGAAGGGGTGAAAAGGGTATCGGAAGGATAAACACCATCTTAGAAACGAGATACAATCGAAGTACCACTTAAAACCATTGGATACAATCCTATAATGGAAAATGAGACACCGACGATTGTTCCGACATAAATAAAACAAAAATTGAACCTTAAGGCCAACAAGAATAAATATATAATAATAGATAAATAGGAGTGGGCCCTCTCTGGAAGGGAGGCAACACTCCTTTCTTTAGAGGGTCGCCTGATCCTCCAATAGACTGGACCGGTTCGATCTAAGACAGGGATGCGACCTCTGTCACATCAATTAACACCTCTATCAGTCTCCCGGGATTGTGAGAGTTTTAACCTCATCTTTAAAAACTTGTCTCCTCTAATATGTAGTCAGGTATAGAAATGTTTTAATCTCCTGGCAAGTAAATTTTGTAGATGTTGTCGCTCAGCTTCTTGAGGGACTTGAAAGGTCCATTTGTTATGGGCTTGAGTTTCCTAAACGATCCTATTGTTAATTTCTCTCTCTTCAATCTGATCCACATTAGATCTCTCTCCTGGAAAGTTACATTCTATCTGATTTTATTAACTTGCACCTTGTACTTGTGGTTCTGCATGGTGATCTCTTTTCCGACCTTTTCATGTAGCCTTTGAATCTCCTATACTTTAACCTCAACATCCACACTAGCTTTTGAAGTTGGGAGTAGTACCAACTCAAGTGGGGTGAGTGGATTGCGCTCATACACAATGTCAAATGGAGTATGCTCAATAGCCTGACTCACGAATCTATTGTAAGCAAATTCAGCTTGTGTTACAATTACATCTCATTTCTTGATATGCTTTCTTGTAAAACACCTATAGAGATTCTCCATACTCCTGCTCACCACCTTTATCTAACATTTTGTATGCGGGTGAGTTGTCGATCTTAAGTGATTCTTACTATCAAGATGTTGACCAAAAGTGACTTAGAAACTTGACATCTCTATCAGAAGTAATGGTTTTTGGTAGCCCATGCAGTCTCACCATCTCCCTAAAATACAAGTTAATTATATTTGATCCAATATCATGTGGTAAGGTACAAAATATGCCATTTTTGAGAACATGTCAACCATCACCATCACTTAATTCTTATTTTGATATTTCCTAGTAAGACTCACAACTAAATCCATTCTACAATCCATCCATGGAGAATCTCTATAGGTGTGTGTAACCCCATATTTCGACTCACAACTAAATCCATTCTACAATCCATCCATGCAGTTTCTGGTATTGGTAATGGTGTGTATAACCCCATATTTTGCCCTCTGATTTTTACCAGATAACAAACTCTGCACTTCCCTACTGGCCTCTTCATATGTCTCGTAATCCTAGGCTAGAAAAAATGTTCCCTCACAAGTGCGAGGATCTCGTCACTGCCAAAATGATCTACTAATCCCTCACTGTGACTCTCCTGTATGATGAACTCTCTCAATGAACATATGAGAACATAAAGCCTCTTCCGGTGGATCATATAACCAATAGATCGTGATAATATCCAGCAGGTCTCTCCTAATACTGATCCTAAATCACCCTGAAATTCTCATGTCTCGTACAAATCCTTCGTCACCTCGAATCCAACAACTCTAGCCTGCATGAAGGTGATTAGTAAGTTGCAACAACTCAAGGCATCTGCTACTTGGTTCAGCTCTCTGTCTTGTGCCTGAGGCACAAATTAAAATGAAGCCAGTAACTCAACCTACGAAGCATGTATGCCCTTCAACTTGTTCCTCCACAATGTGAGTGTGCTCCTCCAGACTCCTTAATGGGTAAGACAACTATGTGTTTCCCTCCTTCATGAATGAATACATGTTCTTGAACCCATCATGCCGAGTCATGCAATCAAATTGCCACGGTCTTCCCAACAGGATGTGACAGACATCCACGAGCACAACGTCACACAAAACCTGATCCTGCAATTGGTTTCCAATAGAGAACTCTATCAACATTGCTTATTCACGAGTATCTTATTCTCCTTCAACCAATCAAAGAATATGGTTGAGAACGCTTTTGAGTAGCTAAGTCTAGCTTCTTCACCATAAAAGTAGAGAACACATTCTCATAGCTCCTTCCATCAATAATAAGGTTGCATATCTTCTCACAGCACACCTGGTGTGAAAGATGTTATGTTTCAACCACAAGTGATCCTTCTTCGGTTCAACTTGTAGAGCCCTCCTTACAACTAGTATTTCACCCTAATCACCATGGAGATGATACTCCTCACCTTGCTCTTCTGCAACCTCCTCCTAGCTCTCTTCCTCTACCACACCCTACTCGATGAAGGGCTTGTAGGGCAATTGGAGGCGATGTATCTGTATCTATGATACTTGAAGCTTTTTTTAGCAGAAAGTGTGCTAGGTGTGCTACTTTTCTCAAGCTTCTCACTTTGATAAGCTCTGTCATTCCATTGATCAATCTTCACAACTCTCCTTGGTATGCTTCTGTTGATACCTCTAGTTTTGGGTGGCTGTCTGATTGTAGGTGGGTGCCTGCTCAGCTACCATTATCTCTCCACCTTCAATGCCAAGTTTTGAACATCTCCCAACGATCATTAAAGCTGTAATTGGACAATATTGTTGATCGATGGCTTCAAGCCTCCCAAGGGAGTGTATTGGAGCGATTTAAAGTGGGAAAATTTTTTTGGGTTCTATGTAAAAAATTAGCTAAAAGGGAGACGTTTTTGGGCAGAGATTGGGCTAGATATTGGTGGATTTTGGTAGCTCTAGGATAAGACTAGGGTTAAACTAGCTTTGATATCAAATAATGCTGGAATTCATCACCAACCCACGGAGAACAAATGTTATTGCTGAATTCAAATAAGAAATTACAACAAAACTATATATTCTGAAATTGCAACAATTAACAACACAATATTAGTCCTAGGGTTGAATCTAGGGTGTAAGTGGTGACAACTAGGGTTGGGCCTCTAGCGAGATATCAAAGGGGAGGTTAGTGGACTGGAATATGGGGCAACAACAAGGGGAAGATGGCACACCAGCAAGGAGAGGCGAGGAATTGCTGAAACAACAAATGGACTTGTTGTCCTGGGAGGCAACTGGGTAAATGGAGGTGGAAACAACAAGAACAACAAAGGTTTGGTATTCTTGGCGGCGATAACAACAAAAAGATGGTCATGAGCTATGACAACGAAGTTTCGGGCGATTTGGGGTGGCGGAAACACAAGTAGTGTGACGAGGGGAAGAAAGTTGATGTGGCAGAGGGATGGGGAAATGTATCAAAAGGATAAACACCACATGTGGAATGAGATATAACCGGAGCACCATTGGATACAACCCAAGAAGAGAAAATGAGATGCTGACGGCTATCCCGAACAAACAAAATAAAAAACCGAACCCTAAAGCCATCAAGAATAAATATACAACCCTAATTAAATAGGAGTAGGCCCCTCTTGAAGGGAGGCAGCACTCTTTAAATTGGAGAGCTGACCAGACCTCCAACAGCATGGACCAGTTTGGTCCAGGAGAAGGACACGGTGTCTGTTGCATCAATTGACACCCTCCATCATTGATATACACCTTTCCATGCATAAATAAGATGTTATATATGTAAAAGTTGAAGTGTAGGTAATAGATTTGTAAATATATAAGAATTGAGTGGCACGCATGTATATATTTTTTTCTTAAATTGATACCATTTATTTTTTTCCAAGCGGTTTTGCTTTTTTCAGAAGCTTAAGAGGCTATTTGACTAGAAGAAGAATTTAGTAAATCTTATGCGTCAAGACTTAAAAATTGTTGGACAATACAGATGTTAAATCTGATTAATTTATAATTAATCGTTGAACATATATATTTTAAGCTTTAAAATTTACAAGGAGAAGAAAATATGTGACAGTTAAGTGGTGTATATCTTTTAAATATTACTTCTCTAATGATTTATGATATTTGAGATGTAATCTACAATTTGAGGAAAATAAGATTTAGTTGTTAGGATTTACTAAAACTTGTAAATTCGGATTTAGTAAATTCTGAAATTTTTAATTCTTACAAATTGTTTGACAGTGAATTTAATAAATCTTGTTAAATTTGTGAAACTGTTTGACAACTTATGTCAAGATATAAAAATCTGTTAGATTTGTTCAAATACATAAACATAATTAAACTTTAGTTATTTCATTACTATAGAAATTAAATAAATAATGTTAGATGATTGTAAACTATGTAGCTCAAAAAGCTTTTTAAAAGATTTAATATATGTCCTGGCTAAATCTTGCAACCAAATGTGTATATTATCCTCAATAATCTTGTTAAGGTGTTTTCTAATTACGTTGTATACTTGTTTACAGGTTGACTTCCACGATACTGGGAGAGGGCCGAGGGTTCCTTCCATGACTGATTATTTTGGATTCACCATGGCTGCACTGAATGAAAATGGCAGCGTTTTTGCAAATCCATGTAAAGGAACAAAAAATATGAGCACTCTAATGTACAGACCTTTCGGAAGCTGGGCAAATAATAGTGAAGTATGTTTTTCAAGTTAATGTTTTCCACTATTATCTGTATGATTGATCTTACTTTCTCATATAATGATAGTGGTCAATGAGGTTTGAAGGGGAAGAAGTGAAGGCTGTTGCTTTAGGCATCGGATGGGTGGCTGCAATTACTAGTCTTAATTTTCTTCGCATTTTTACAGATGGTGGTTTGCAGGTTTGTAATTTTAATAACGCAACAAAGATAATTGTGTTTGTCAGCCTAGAGAATGTTAAGATTGGGTCACATCTATTGAGCATGAGAATAACTAACACACTTCTATGTAGTGCTAATCACTTCATACTTCATGTGGATTTTGTAAAGTGAACAACTCTTCGCTTTTACGTATTGTGCTTGTTCCTTCTCATTCATCATTGTTATCATGGAAAGTCTTCAAATCTGGTTGATTCACTAATCACAATGCTTGATCATGCTCGACAAAAGTATCCAACTTCCCCTTTGAGTTGTTTTTTGAATTTCTCTTAGAAGATTTTCTGATGAAACTTCCAATATTTTCCTCTACCATTTCGTGAGATTTGGCTATGATCATGATATATGTTTTCTTCTAAAGAAGTTATTTAATTATCTTTGTCATAGTCTTTCAGTTCTCTTTTTTTTAAAAATTCTTCTTATCGCCTTGAATTCTTCCCTTTTCCTCTAGTAGAGGGCTTGCTTGCTTTGTCCTATTTTTTCTCTCAAGCATTATGGAAAACATGGTTGTCTAATAGAGGTATATTTGGCATGTAATAGTAGAATATCATTAGAGAGACCATGATGCAACTTTGTTGTGTATTTTATTATTGCTAAGTCTTTTTCTAGGGGCAGACCAATTATTAAGGATTTTCCCTTGAATTTTGGTATATATTTTTGCATCTTTTGTTATTGTCTTCGGCCCAACTCATATAATTTCCTCCATTTTTCTACTTCACACCCTAGAGGGTAAAATTCTCGTCGGATCTAGAATTGTCTCTTGTAAGATAAATTGAAAATATTTTAGTGAGCAAATACTTTTGCTCTTTATATATCTATGGACTATTGAAAATCTCTTTTGATGATCATTAACATGGATGAACTTTAGCAAACCACATAATTCCTTACTTCTATGTCTTAGTTTTCGGCGATAGTGTTTTGCTTCTCATTCTCATAATTATTAGTACTCTTGTGAACAAATTTTTCGTCATAATGAAGGGCGAAATTCATGTGCATAGATATTGATTTTTTTTTTAATGTGAATAATGAGTAGCAGATTATGAAAGAATAGAAAAAAAGGGAGAAAGAAAGAAATAAAAAACAAAGGAGAAGAAAAGAAAAGGAGAGTTCAAATCAAGAAAAATAAGAGAAAAAGTTCAGAAAAAATGGAAAATAAAGAAAAGCAAAATAAAAATATTTTACCATGCTTCCATTCAACTTCCAGTTTCATCATCATTTGCCTTATCCTAATTGTATGAGATCATTTTTTTCAATTTCTAATTCTATTCATTCCTGTTGATTACTAAATGAGGTGTTTATAACACCTATTGAAGAATTTTGATCCATTTTATCTTTATAATACCTTTTTTTTTCATTCTAATTAATTTAAGTTATCTCTTATGCATTTATCTTATTGATGCATTTTCTACGCATATTGTATGATGCCCAAATCATCTAATTTTATTTTTTTCTGTTATTATTAATAGGTGACATTACTATCATCATTATATTATAATCATTTCTAGTTTTACCTCTCCTTCACCTTAGCATTTTTATTTTTTCCATGCTCAATTTGGCTATAAATAACTTCTTTATAGCAAAATATAATTTTAGTTTTGTAAATTTGCCTAAATTCTTTTTGATAGGGTCTTAACTCAAAGTATTCTTGAAGCACTTCATTCTTAATGACCCAAAATTAAGCTTAGAAGTTAAAATTTTCATCTATATCCACAACTGTCTATTTAGTACATTCCAAATACTTAATTTTATCAGATTTAGATCACTTGATCTTCCAACAATATTGACTAATCATTATTAATCTCAATAACACAAATTGAATGTCACTTAATTCAAAATTTACTTTTACCTTCGATAAGAAATATCATGGCTGTTTTTAATATTTTCTTTTCTTACGAAGACAGGCAATAACTCAGATAAACCATCCACTTCAATTCAGTCAGTGCATAAAAATTAAGGAGTCTATAATATTGATAGAATTGTTTTCAGTGTTCACGGTTCTTATGATTTCATTTACAGAGAATATGAGAGAAACATTGATAATCTTAAGTCTGAGACACTATTTGTTAATTATGTTACTGCTCTTGAAATTTGCTTTTTGATAGATAATATTCGTCGGAGCATCTTCCTTGTTGTTATTACAAATTGATCATGCATTACGTGTGAAAATCTTCCTTACACTTAGTGAAGTCTTTCTGGCTGAATTGGTTATTATTTATTTTTATTATAATAATAATAATGAGAAGAAGAAATGCTTTCTGTTTCAGAGACACATCCTCTGTCTTGACGGGCCAGTGGTGACAGCAGCAGGCTTTAGAAATAAATTGGCAGTGGTTACTCATGCTTCAGACTGTTTTCCCTCGGGAGATCAGGTTTGTTTGCAACAAAAAGCACAAATAATGAATTATAGTTTTCCCCTTTTCAATTAGGAAAGCAATTTTTATGTAATAAACTAATTCAAATTGGGATATTGAAAGCCTTTGACACTATCACCAATCAATAGCTTGATAATACGCTATCTATCACTTACCTGATGCCCCAATCAGTAGACTTAACCATTCATCATCTCCTTCGGCTTCTTGATGCTTATTTCTTAGGGAACAGATAGCCAGAACTTCTAAAGAATGTGCTTTGGTTGGTCTTGTTACTCGCTGACATGATCTTAGCCTGACATAGCTTTTCTAATCAAAATCATCAGATTGACCCATGTGCAAGCCAAGCTTTTAAAAATCAGAACAGATTGTTTCAACGGTGAACCGGGTATATGGCCAGCCTAGTGAATCTTAAAAATTGTTTTCACATCAAATCGGTGTAAACATTTGGTTTGAACAGTGAAAGGCCAGTCCAAATAACATTTTTGATCATCTTTGATTTTCAGTTCAATGATTTATTTTTTTAATAAAAATTAATTCTATAAATTATTTTATGTTAAACTTATAATCATGAATTTAAAAATTTTAAATCTTATTAACATAAACTTAACCAAGTTAATCCATAGCGTGCCTATCAATTTAGATTAGTAATAAGCTCACGCCACGAGTCTTTTTTTTCTATGTAAGCAATACAATTCTAACTTTCTCCTATGATGTGAGGCTAAAAGTTATGAGCATGCATAAATTTGAATTGGGTTGTAGAAATGAAGAATTGGGCTGGGAGATCTGGATTTGAAAAATTAATTGGGTTGTAGGATGTAGCAATATTATAACAACATTTTAATTTTTTAATTTTTTTAATATTATTAGTATTATATTCTTATTAATTGTTTAAAATTAGATTCTTATTACAAATTATATTCTTACTATAAACTATATTTTTATATATAATATAAGTTATATATATATATATATATATATATATATTGTAAAACATTTTTTTTTAAAAAAGATAGGCTAGAGGCTATTATACTAGCCTCTCGACCAACTCATGTGCCAAAGAATCTCATCCTGTAAATAGGCAGCATCAAATCTGTCACCCCAAAGTCTTACAAACTCTGTCAACTAAAGAGTCATGTAGGCGGCATAATATATTGATCCATTCTTGCACTTTACCACTTTTGCATGCCCATAAGGTTTAACATCTGAAGTAAGCAAAATTGACCAATTCCTTCGTCCATTTTGCAGCTGATTCTGACGATGTTTATCAATTGATGGAACATGTTACACTTTTGGCTCCCTTCAAATTGTCTTATTTTTTCCAGGTTCTTGTAGTACAAGCATTCAATATCAACAATAAAACTCAACTCATTCGATGCCGTGTTCCCTTGTCTCCTGGTTCTGGTTTATTATGGTTTGGATTTAGTGAAGAAGGCCATTTATGCTCCTACGACACCCAGGTTTGCCATGCCCTCCCTTGCGTTTAATGAAAATATTATTATTTTCTATAAACTCAACCAATTATCATAACTAATTGATGAAATCCATGCAGGGTGTACTAAGAATTTTATCCAATCAATATGGCAACAGTTGGCTCCCTATTTTTAGGTACGGTTAGATCACAAAACTAATGATTTCTTAAGTAAATTTTTCATACTTTTTGAAATCAATATTCAAAGAATGTGATTTATGCAGTGCTAGTAAATCAAAGAAGTCTGAAGATGAGAACTACTGGGTAGTAGGTCTTGATGCAAGCAAGCTCTTCTGTGTTTCCTGCAAGTCCCCCAACTCTTACCCATTGGTAAGTCCTGCAAGTTTCGGCCGCCTTTTACTAACGGCTACTTTCTCCAATTTAACACCTTCAGAGTTTCTGCAGGTAATGCCAAAGCCTGTTCTCGTGCTACTAGATCTTAAATTCCCTCTTGCCTGCTCTGATCTCGGTGCCGAAGATTTGGAAAGCGAGTTCATTATGAGAAATCTCCTTCTCCATCAGGTTTATCATTTCCTCGGACCTACTTTGTCTATCATTTTGCTTGATTTTAGTGGTGAGAAGAGGCGTGGCGGTCTCCCTTCAATTTTTATTGAACTCTTTAATATCATATATTATACTGAAAAATTGAGTCTCTAAATTTAAATACTTAATAATAATTTAATGCTAATTATATATTTAATTTAATGATCATATTTATAATCATTTAAAAAAATTTCAAAGAGATGAGTATCTTAGATACTCGTCTTCCCTTAATATTTAGGGCCTATTTGGGGCAGCTTGTGCGTTTCAGGATAAGGATAAACAGCTTATCCTGAAACAAGGCCCGCGGATCGACCGCGGGGGTCGACCCGCGACTTGCGTTTAGTGTAAAAAACCCAAACGTGACAGACAAAACTTTCAAAAATGTGCAAACCAAATGATTAGGCGGCGTCCGCCGCACTTATAAGCTGCCCCAAACGGACCCTTAGTTTTGCTACCCGTCTTCTTATGTTCTGATTCTTCCACTGCAAGTTTTATTGCTCACATTCATCGAACTTTGTACCTCAGATTCAAGAGAAGATAGACGAAAATGTGGCGGCTGGTCTCGATACAAGCGCACTAGATGACGATGCATTTGATATGGAATCTGCTATTGATCGATGTGTTTTGAGACTTATTTCCAGTTGTTGCAATGGTATTGTTACTTGTACAATTTCTTCTCTTCAATATATGAATTTGTATTGATTGAATCTTAAGATTGTTTTTTTTTTGGATGATGTTCTTAAAGCTGATAAACTTGTGAGGGCCACTGAACTTGCAAGGTTGCTTTCTATGGAAAAATCAATAAAGGGTGCAATTAAACTGGTTACAACTTTGAAGCTTCCTATCCTCGCCGAGCGATTCAACAACATACTCGAGGTGACATTTAGTTGCCATAACCTCAACTTTTTCTTAAAAGTGGAAAAATATTTTAAACGCTTATTCCCTATATATTTCTTGCAGGAAAGATTGATAAATGAATCTAACGGTGTTTCAAGCAATGCTACTGTCATGGAAGTAAAGAAAGCTGTTATTTCTCCCATTTTGCCATCCTCACACATGTTCGCCATTTCCAAAGCTTCCATTGAAGGCAAAAATGTAGAAAATGAAGAGACTAATGGAGGAAAAGAACTAGGTGGAAACGACAATGAGGGAAAAGAGAAGAGTAAGGCTCAAACAAGACCATTTTCAAAATTGTCAAACAATCATGACAGAAGTGAAGAGAAGGCTACAAAGCCAACAGAGAAGGAACTCAGAAAAAGGACTTCAAAAGAGGAAGAGAAGCATTTACCTATAAGAGGCACAGGTAATTCTAGTTCTGTTGAAGTGGCTAATGAGAAGCATTCTCAGAGGCCAACAAATCCATTTGCTAAGTCATCAAATAAGATGGAAAAATCACTATCTCTCCTTGATTCGATCAAGAAGATGAAGAAGGTTGACAAGTAGAGAAAGGTGGAATGGATATTAATAGCTTATTTATAGGTGGGTAGAAGTATGACTTTAAAAGAAAAGTTATATAAAATGAGAAGTTTATAAACCATATGATAAAAGGCTAAGACTTGCCATAGAATAAAGATTTAGTAGCTTTTGCTCTTGAATTATATTAGATATGCTATGGTATTTTCCAAATAAGCGGTGGGCCTTCATGAAGTCAAGAAGTCACTAATTGACTTCATCTTCCTCGAACTAGACTTGGTGGGTTGTTATATTGAGCAATTTAGAAAAAATATTCTTATTTGCTCCCTGGGGTTCTAGTAGGCAGGCGAGTTACTATGTTGAATGCTTTGGACGTATATAATGGGTTGATATTTGGGGTAGAGTAGATTAGCAAGTTGTTGCAAGTACTTTGTACTGTGTTTTGGTTGATTAGATGGAAAGTTCATTGTGGTTGGTTTTAGAGCTGATGTATTATTATTACTTTTTTTTTTTGTAAATTTAATTTGATAAATTCATGATATTAACTTCTTGTCGGTCTACTCGACTTAAACTCTGCTAGAATGATTTTGGGAGTACATGTATTATATTTCTCTATGTTATTAGTGAATGGTTAATGTAACATAAGACTTGATGAAATTTGATTCATTTCATAGATAAAATTGTTAATTTTTTGCTTTTGTGTGATGTAATATTAGACATGATCAAATTAAGACTTGATGAAATTTTATTTTCTTAATTTGCCTTGTTTTAAGATTAAGATTCTTGAGATAATCAATCCAAACAATTTTAATGATTGGTATTTGATTAGAAAATGTATAGGAATTATTTGGTCTCATGCTATTAATTTGCACAACTAAAATATTTAACTTCAATTTATTCTCTTATTATAGATTCATAAAGGAAAAGAAAGAGTTAGGAAGTGCTATATGTATGCTTCATTGGTTGTCCAAGAGTTGTCTGAAGTGTCCTTTAAGACTATTGTTGATTTTATATGTAGTAGGATTTAATTGTTATTGACGCTCTTAATTAGAATTTATGAGGAAATTTTTTTTTTTCCAACTTCTAAAAGGAGAATCACCCTTGTTTTCATATTTAATATTTTGTTGTTAAAATTATCTCTTCTATATAGCTTCAATAATTTTAATAGAATATTAGATTTCAGAAATGTTTGAGATCATTTGATTATTAATTAGAAGCGTTGCAGTCTTCTCTAAGTATCATTAAGGTTGTATTAGTAATTTGAAGTGTGAGGTTGATAATATTAGAACTTCTTTATTGAATTAAATTAGAAATTTATTAGTGAAATATGACTTTTAGTTGCACATCTATGGTTATTTGATCAACCTTCTATACCCTATTTGATTAACAATAAACCTTATAACTATTATCTTTTATGGAAGATTGATGATTTGTTTTAATTTGAATCAACATATTAAATAGGTATTACATGGCACAATTATAATTTTTAAATATACATCTATTTTGAAATAATATTAATCAAATGAGATATGTTGGAAGAGTTGATGTTTTATATTTGACTTATATTAAGAATGACATCGGTGGGGCTAGAAAGCCTTGAGCATATTATATATAAAATTATCTTAATTTACTAGAATTAAATGAACATATGACTCTTAATAGGGTGCAATGGAGAAAAATGATTCATGTAGCTGACCCCACTTAGTGGGATGAAGGCTTCTTCCTCTTGCTGTAATAAAATCCAAGTTACATAAAACTTTTGACAACCCAATATACCTTAACATTGGATCTATTCAAACATTCAATGAATTTTCATTTCACCTTTCTTGATGAGCATTATCATAAATAGAAATAATATATCTCTTAGTGGATAAGAATGACCAACCATCTATAATTATCTAGGAGCATATTAAACAATCAAACTATAACCTACAAGTATATCCTATGAGCTTTAATTATTTAAACATTGAGAAAGAGATGTTGGGCATTCATGTAGTATATTGTTCCTATTTTTCTCTTTGAAAGTGAAACTTTCACTTGATTTGTTACAGAATTGGCATATGCCACAAATTCAAATCACTTAATTTTTTATCTTCTTATTTTTTCTATTTTATTGTTTCTTTGCCGCATTGCATAATAAATCAAATATAGCTCCTCAATTTATACCTCTCTAAATGTACATTCCAGTTTCTCTCATTTCAAGTGAGCAAATTACCATTTACACCATAGCAAGTTCTATTTGTGTGGACATTGAGTCTGAACTAGTTTCTTTAAGATCCCAAATATATGATTGGAAACTACAATAATCAAGGTTGTTCTTAGTACGCAAAATGTACACAAACCTACTATAGTATTTTGGTCCAATCCGTAGTTATGCAGTTATTTAGTTTTCTGGCCAAAAACTTGACTTAGTTTCTTTAGGCGGCCAGTGTGCAAAATGAATATGTTATAGAGTTTATAATTTAATTTATAGTTAACACGCTAGGGGTTCTACGCAAGTATCAATAATATAGGGCTTTAATGGAGTCTCGTTTATCAATCCCACAAGGAAGCAATGTAAGAATCCCTTAGGCTAAGTTCTAGTCAACTACTATCAGGTCTTAGTTTGGAATGTTGATTAAGGTTTTTCTAACAACTGCTCCTAAATACAAACCTAAATCTAAAGTTAAACCTAACTAGATAAACTGATTTAGTGAATTTTTAGGTGTAAAAGCTACCTTTCTCTTGTGACCTAGATAATGTGTAAGAATGAGATACTTAGAATCTAATGCGGCAGTGACAATAGAGGAAAAAATATCTAAGTTTTCCTCTTCCTAGTGTATAACGTAGCTCAGTTAACATAGGGTCAATTCCTTAAAATAACAAGATTATCACGACGAAACTTCTAGCCTATCACTCTAGAGTCTCCTTCTTCTAATAGCCATCTAATTGACTTATATTAGATTTAAGGTACAAAGCCTTGGATCAAATTGGTTAGGAATCTAGCCTTACGCTAAAAACACCTATTTTCACCCATCAACAAATATCTCCCTAACATTGCATTGAATCTTAGGACTACTTTTCCTTCACCCATAAGTTCAATGTAGTTCCTCCTAGTTGTTAAAGCCATAGCCCTCCCAGAACTTTTGGGTTTTCAATAAATTTTAACATACAAATTGACCAGATTGATTAGTAATTGAAGCATGAAGTAAGAACATCACTATGATATGAAAAACCTATTCTAACATGCATCCTAGCATCCAAAACATTCATCCAAAACATTCCAAAACATTCATCCAATTCATTGCAAAAGAAAAGTACAAAAATTCTACTTCACAAAGCATGTGTCACATACAACAGAAAGCTTCATTAAATCAAAACAAATCCACTAGATAAGTGTTTTCAACAAGCACAAAATAATGAAGAACACAATACGTAGCTTTTCCCTCTGAAAAAAAAATGAAAATCCCTCCAACAAAGTCTCATGTTGATCCATGCAATGCTAATACAATCCCTTACAAATATCTGTCAAAATTCCCCCACCAATTTCTCCAAAAAAAGGTAATAATCTACATTTCCTACTCTCATATACGACCTCTCGATCTTCTTGGAGAATTCCAAGACTTAGAAATGCCAAAAAGTTCTTTCTCCAGTGATTCTCCAGTGAATATATCTTTAAATTCGTGCATAAACGCTAAGGAAATCTCCAAGAACAGTTCTGACGTGCAAGCGCTAGCCTGTGGCGCCTAGACACCACTTGCTTGGGCAACCATTGAATAACACTAGCGCCACCATGGCGCCGACTTCTTAGGAAGTTTGGCAAGGTCCGGTGCCTAGGCGCCCAAATATGGCGCCATTGTTCCATGGAGTGGTGCTTAAGCACCATCTTGTGGCTCCTTGGCGCCAGTTAATATTTTGCTCCATTTGCCTCCTTTTAGCCCTGTTTTCGTTCTAGTTCGCTCCAAATGCTTTACCTACTATACGTGCAACAAAAACATAAAAATACCTTCTTTTAAAATATAATTTCATTCAAAAAAAAATGTGCTAAATGTAAAGGAAATTAAGCATGCTAAAAGACATATCATATTTGCATTGAATATCAAATAAGACATGCATGTAAGATTTTGCTATGGCTTCAATTATTTAATGTGTACTATTGTTTATTGTGTGCGACATGAGTATAGAAAATATTAATGCTAGTAAAGATAATATACAATTATTCTCTAACTTTAATACTTAAACAAGTATCCTCAACTTCTAAATCGTTAATCTTATAATGAGAAACATTAGTATTATGATCACATTTTGAAAGACATCTAAATAAAAAATAATTTATTAGGCTAAACATCAAAAGAATTTATAACATGACCACATCTTAAAGTGCTTATAAATATTAAGTACAACACTCATTAGACCAACATTCTATTCTTCCAACAAAATAATCTTATCATTCAAGCTAACATCATATTCATTAAAAAATAAACTAGAAACGGTTAAGGAATTGAGTTTGCTCTTAAATTTCTCATTTTGAATTTCAAATAATGAGCAAGTACTTAATTTCTTAGTCAACATTATAATTCTCATTGTTCAAAATTTTTTTTAGTTTATATATATTATACAATATTTCAAATTGACTAAAACTCTTCATATGATAAACCTATTAGATTTTCATTGTTTTTGGGGCAAGCCAAATTTTTTTGAATGGTTCCTTCTCATTAACTTGAATTACAAAATTCTCTTTGTTTTCATTTTTTTTTGTAGCATTCTTTTTTCTTCCCTTTCTTAGATAAATGTCTTTTTGGCTCATCAAGTTGCTTGTTGATGTTCTTCTTTAGAACATCCTCAATTTTCTTCTCCCATGCACTTTTTTACATTTCCAAACATATGAATTAGAGTATCAAGTTTTTTAATATTTTTTTTTTTTATTTTCAGTCATTCAATAAAAGGGCACAACAAAAAAAGATATGCACTTCAAAACTTATTATAAAACATATATTCATCACAAATCTTATGTGAATGAAGGCCGAGACTCAGAACAGAATATCGTGAAACTCAGATCCTACTCCTGCTGATCGGTCTGGCGCTTGCCCCATCTAAGAAGAGTTGGGTGGGTCGGGGGCCGAACCTCAGTACAAAGAAAGAAAGCAGGGCGTCTTGCATCGCTTGAAACCATTAGCACATGAGTGACGTCCATCTTTTGTGCTTCCTTTGATGTATATACGCAATTCTCTCAATCTTCAAAGATTTTTCAATAAAAAAGAAAACCAGTTTTTTTAAATAGTAAAAAAAAAAAGAAAAACCATTCAAAATAAAATGCCCTAAGGATTAATAGATTACAAATACCTAAGCTTGTGATTCTTTCATAAAATCATATATAACCTGACAAACAAAGGTAAGAACAGAAGAATGACAAAAAACAATGTATAATGGATATGTGCCATAGGAACTTCTATTTTTAGTTACATAGCTAAAATAAATAATATCATGATCACCCACTCTAAGGCGAATTGAAACCTTAAATGCACACCAATAGTGGAGAGAAGTTAATGTATAATAACATTACCACATTTTTTTAGAAATACTTTCAATGCATTCTTTTCAAAACCCTTCCAATCTCAAACTCACACAAAGCACACAAAATATAAATAAATAATTAATCAAGCACAAACAAGCGCACAAGTGTAAGTAATTATGAGCATTCAAGTAATAACAACAATATAAATGATGCCAAATTGAATAATTTTAGCACTTATAAACAAGAAAACAAACTCCAAGTGTAACACCATGCTAAGTGAGTGGATAAGATTCATTATGCTGATAAAAAGTTGAATTGGGCAATGTGAACATTAACCCCAATGTAATGATCAACAAAACTACAGAAGATTAATCTCTTAATTCAAGGAAAACCAAAGATGCACAAACCTACAAGCATCCCTTCAACAATAAAGGATGTAAAGATTTGATGCTAAAGTGAGAGGAATTGAATATATTAAGCATAAGCTTAATGATTACCCAACACAGATATATAAGCATGGATGATTCAAACACCAATTGAAAACTCAGTAAGTAATTTTATAAGTGAATAAATAAGCATGAAGGACAAAATTATACAGCAATTGGACACAACATTGTATTAGATCATTCTACCAAACCCAAGCAACTTGCATCCATATCTAAGCACTCTCTTGCTCAACATTTCACCATCTTCCACAGTTATGAGAGAGAAGCTCAATCCATGATTAATCAACTTCCAAATATTATGTATGCTCTCCTACACCCAATCAACACAACCTAAACACCACTCCTACCTAGCGAGCAAACCCACAATCTCGAGCACAAGATTGGAACTCTTCACAAAATTAGTGAGAGGGCATGTTGATCACCAAAATGAAAACTAGGAAAGATTTAAGCATATAAAAGGCCAACAATACTTAAAAATTGAGCACATTGCTGAGAGCGAAAGATGAGAGCCAAAAAAAAAGAGAAAAAAATGCTAGCTTTCAACATTATAGAAGCCAATGAATGCAGAAACAACAGAGCAAAATTGCAGGAAAACAGTCGCAAGGAAAGACCGGAAATTTTTTTTAATACACAGGACTCATAAACAGCCATTAGAACCCAAAAAGCAGGTTCTTTCTGTGACATGAAACACTAAAACAATAAATCCTCAAATATCATTAACAAAATTTTAGCAGAAAATCCTAATCACCAAACAGATCATCACTATCTTCACCTGAAGCATCATTTGATTTTCCACTGGAAGGCTTTCCATCAACATTTTTGTTTGTATTTCCTTCTCTACCATCATTTTTATATGCCCAAGATGAACCTACCTTACTTGAAAAAGAATCACCATAAATGTCATCATAAATCCCACCTTTAGAAGTGTTCTTCACTTTGTTCAAAACCTGCTGTAACTTGTGAGTGACACCCTTGGGTGAAATGCTGCCTTCCCTTTGAGATAGCTGCTCCTTCCCTTTAGGAATAACAGTGACCTGAACAAGAGACTCATATTTACCAACAAGACTGCCTTCTTTTACACCAATAGGACCAGGTTCAGTTTCAACATCCACACCATCTGAGATCCCCACAACTTCAGCTAAGTTACCACCAATCTGATCTTTGAATGCAACCCTTGCTTTCCTAATCCTCTTAGAGGGCCTATATAAATGATGAGCATCGGATTTTACAGTCGATGAACTCGTAGATTTTGATGACAGATCTGATTTCGTAAGACCATAACGGTTGAGAATGGTATTATATGCAACAACAGCATCTTCGTCAGATGGGTCTGGAGGAGAAGGTAGATCTACTTCTCTCGGAGCTGCGGGAGTGGGAAAAAGGGCAGCAGTGTTCTTTCTCAGAATATAACTTCTGGTAGATGCAGCAAATCTTAGAGATTGCCCAACTTCAAGCTCAACCGGAGTGTCTTTAATAAGTCTCTCATTGCCAACAAATGTACCATGAACAGAACCCAAATCAATCACATAGATGCTGCAAGAATATACATGATAAATACATAATTAACCACTTGTTGGCATGGTAAATTGGTCAATCAAAAACAAAAAAAAGAGGGAAATTTACATGCGTTGCACACAATTCTTATGTATTTACATATCTCACACCTATACTTTGATGTTTACATACACAACACTGGGGCTTTAAACCTATGCATGAAAAGGATTATTTCACTTTTAAAAAGTGATAATAGTGCTATTTCTAATGTGATATTAAGGATTTGAGGGCTATATGTATAAATTTGAAAGTTAAGAGATATGCAAATACATAAGAATTGTGTGCTACATATGTAAATGCCCCAATAAACTAAAGAAAACTTATTCAGTCATTATAATTATTTGTATCACCAGAACCAAATGGAATTAACTTTCTCCATGGTTCATAGTAGCTAACATTAACAAAGATTTCCTTATTCCTTTCTTTCAGTAATATGAATATTAATAGAGTAACACTTTAAAATATTATTCTAAACAAATGATCATCAAGTAATCAAATTTATCATAGAATATTACCTCTATAATAATCAAGTATACTGATGGTGAAAATGGGAGAACGTTCTGTTTTCTCTACAGACCAAAAAGAAACATGAGATACTTGGCATACTATTTAAAACCTGTATTCCTCACGAATTTGGCTGTTCCAGATTATTCCGTTTACACCTCTATATTTCCATTCTATCGCTTCTTTTGCACTTACATTAAGTAATTACAAGCATCAGACCCTCTAGCAGTTTGTGTGTTTTGCAAATTTTCACATCGACAACCACAACAAATCCATAGTCCTAACTAAGAACTTTTCTTTGGAATTGAAGTGGTCTAGTGTTTCAGAGTTTAAAGCAAACTATTTCTTTTGCTGTGAGGGTCTCATTTATTCCATGCAGAAAGAACATGTAAACTATCTAAGTAATTTATTTGTTTTTCCATATGGAAAAGATGCAGATATACTGACATAAATGAAGGGTTCATTTGGCAAAAATGTGTTGTTTATTTTGTAAAAACATTAAATCAATGCTGTTCTCATAAAGATGGACAAAGCTTACAAGAATATTTTTGACAGCCCTTAAAAGGATTCGTTCATACAGTGGGATTGAGTACCGTTATATAAGCTTATCAAGCTAAGCCATTATGCCCGGTTTAGCTTAAAAATGAGTAAAAGCTCAAATTAGTCCCCCAATTATTAAGAAGTGTCCAATTTAGTCCCCGAGTTTTAAAATACTCCAATTTAATCCCAGACTATTAAAAGGTGCGTCAAATTAGTCCTAAATCATATTTTTTGTTAAATTTAACAGTTCTTTTCACGTTTTGAACGATAGTTCTGTCTATTTGCAAAATTCACGAATTAAACTCACAAAAGTTACTTCTCTTAATCACATAATTTTTTCATTCACATATATAGTATTTTGAACATAAAATAAATTCATTAATTAAGTTTTCAAGCTAATTTTAACAATTTTAAAACATATTCTCTAATAAATAATATTAAAAAAAATTCAATTGAAATAGAGTAATTCCTATAATTTTAGATTGAGTGATCTATTATTGCATAATTCTTGATTATTTTAAAATTTTTATTTAAAACAAAATGATGACTTGTTTTAAAAATTATAGCTTTTCAAAAACAAATAACAAAAGAGATTTATATACAAACCACATATTTTTTGAATAATTAAATAAAAGAAGAAAATACCCTTCAATTCATGTAGGCCATCATCAAATTTAACGGAAGATATGATTTAGGACAAATCTGGAGCACATTTTAATAGTATGGAACTAAATTGGAATATTCTAAAACTCTGGAACTAAATTGGACAGTTCTTAATAGTTGAGGGACTATTTTGGACTTTTACTCGCCTAAAAATATAGCTTGCTTTCATATAAAGTTTTTTTAGTCAAACATATTATCATCATCATTAACTTTATCCGAATTATTGGGGTTTAGCATTATGAATTTTCATTTTTCATTTTCTCTTACAAAGTGATGCTTTAGATGTTAAACCTATACATAGCAATTCATTTTAAATAACATCTATCAATAGCACTTAAGTTTTATTCCTTTAAGCCTTCTAATTTTTTTGACACCAATTCTTTTCACTATGAGTGTATTTTCCAATCTTTATTGTGAATCTATAAATCATCAATCTGTTTTCAACTATTTAGCTTCGATAGATATCATTTCAACCATATAATACAATTATCTTTAATTTGTTGATCAATGTTAGGTGGAAAGGCGAGTCGGGGTGGTTAGGAAAGATAATACTTTCAAATTGATGCCACAAGCACCAAAGAAATTAATCGTCAGTTTTTTTTAAGAAAATCTAAGAAAACTCAAAAGCATTAATTAAAAAGTACTCGGTTATACAATGAGATTAAATATCATTATATACTCCTATCATGGCTATGCCATCATGCATAGTTTAACCTCAAAATAAAAGCTTCATGATCATTAAAATTTATTTATCTTAGTCAATATTTATCATCATCAACGTTGTCCAATTATTTTATGTTGTTGTACGAATCCTCATTTTCATTTGTTGTTATTGAGTGATGGCTTAAGTGTTAAGCATTTCACAAATTAGTTTAATCAACTGCCATCAATTTCACGAATTATCACATTTTTCTTTATAATGATTTGACGCTAATCAATTTCTTATTTTAATAGGTGCATTTTCTACTGTTCATTGTGTATATCTACAATATTTAGACTATTTTAAATTGCCTTATTTTCAATTGATACCACTTCAAACAACATCTAATATAATTATCGTGCAATTTATCATTTCTAATTATACCACACATACATCTTAATATTTTCTTCATCACTGCATTCAACTTAGTTTTTTCAAAATTTTATTGCCTAAAATTTGGATCCATATAACATATCCAGCCTAATCGTAATTTTATAGTATTAAGACTCCATGATATACTAATAAGAAAATTCACTATTTAATCAAAAGCATTAACGCTAGAAGTTATATGCTCACTTATATCCCTACTTTTCTATATAACAAATTGAAGATACATAAAATTATCACACCTATGAATTACTTTATTTTTAAATTAAACATTGATGGGTCATTAAAAATTAAATTGCATAACATATATTTAATCTTTATTGAGTTAATTAGGAATCATTTAACTTCCAAATATTTTCTCTATTGTTCCAACCTTTTATTTATCTTATTATGTTTCTCGTCAGATAAATTGCCATATGTGAAAGAATATACCAACACTCCTCTCAATGAATATCTTAGAAGTATTTCATGACAATGCAAAAAGATATTGTCAAAATTGAATTCAATGCAATCCTACTGTAATATGAAGTTTCATCAATCTAAAAATACTTCTAGGACAAATTAGTACTCAATCATATATATATTTTAAAGAAGTTAAACATAAATTTAAAACACTTTTTTTCTTAATGGGCATAAAATCAATTCATATGGTAGTCAAACAAAACCCTTACTAAGGCCCCGTTTGGGGCAGCTTATTGGGAGCGGCGGCTTTTTGAAAACGCCGCCTCCCTGTTTGTTTAACACGTTCGCACTGGCGTTCCTCTCCCGCACTGCGTCGCGTTGGTTAAATTTCTCTAGTTTACACACTTCCTAATTAATTAACTTATCACAAAAATAAATTTCATAATAGATCTACCTAGCTTGAAATCAATTGAAAATTAGAATGATTAGAGTAGTGAAAAATTGGAGATTTTATTGCAGGATTTTATTCTCTTAATCTGTGTAAAATATATGAAAAAAAAGCAATACATAAGTGGATAAATAAATAATTAAAAAGAAAAAAAATATGACAATAAATCTTTTCTTTTTAAATTCAAAATTAACTATATAGCAGAAAAAGAAAGTTGTTATTCATGAATTCTTGGATAGCAACAAATGGAAATAAGTTTCCATCAATTATTGGAATTTTGTACATAAAAATGATTTCTTATGAATTAATATATTGTTATATATTAAAATATGTTGTCAATGGTGATACTGGAGTTAACCAACAATAACGGGAAAAGCAAATATTATTATTGAAATCAAATAGGAACTTACAACCAAATAAATGGAAATATGAAATTGCAACAAACACGATATGAAACACGCGACTAGGGGCGAATCTATGCTGGTGGTGGTGGCTGTTAGGGGCGTGGAAGGGAGGTGACAAGATGGGGAAGTGGAACAAATGAGAGTATGGCAGGAAACGACATTTGTTTGCTGTGCTGGCAACAACAAGCAGGAAGGGGCAGCTGGACAGCAGCGGAAAACAGTGGAAGGCAGTGGCAGCAGGTATGAAGGGCAGCTGGAACAACAACAAGGCTGCAGGGAGGGGGTTCTCAGCATTTGGAACAGCAGCAAGGCTGCGGGGAGGCGGTTCTTGCCGGCGCAGCGAGGAAGGGTTAGTTGGGAGCGATGCAGGGAGGAAGGGAAGGAAAAGGCTGCCGGGAAGGGGAAAATGCAGGGAAAACAGCAAGGACAGCTGTTATAAGGGAAGCTGCAACAAGGGCAGGCGTCAAGGAGCAACGTAGGCAGGATGGGAAGGGCAGGGGGTAGGATAATGACTACGTCGGGAGCGAGATACAGTCAGACACCATTCGAGCTTGGAAGCAGCTCTAAACAGGAAAACAAAGTGCCAATGGTGGTCCTGAACAAACCACACAATAAAATTTGAACAATACACAACAAAAGCAACATAAATAGTTTTAGGCTAAATAGGAGTGGACCCCACTCTGGTAGGAGAGAATTCCTTGCCTGGAAGGACCAGCTTGTCCCTCCGATACTTGGACCAAACTGGTCTAGGCGCGGCAATTGCCATACCAAGGGCACCTCGTTAGACGCCCACATCAAACAAATTTGTTCTCTGAAACTAACATGATTTTTTTTTTTAAATATATGTTTTATTATTAGTTCTTGTAAGTTTGATAACAATAATCTTGAACATATGTTTTGTTCTTAGATACCAGCATTAAAATATTTATTCTCTAATTATCTGACTATCTTACTCTTCAAACATATCCTTATAATAGTATTCAAATCTCAATAGATATCACATCTGAATTTGAAAATTTACTTGCATTAATCATCCTCCAAGCTAAAACTAACTCGCTCCTTCAGATAAATCTAAAATATACCACAGCAATTTGTTCATCATGCTCATCCAAATAAGTTTTTCTTTGAGCTCTAATAATTTCTAAAAGTAAATTCATGCATTTCTTTGATGCATTCAATTTTAACTAGGATCCTATTATCTTATGTATCTAGATTGCTCAAGCTCTTGAATTCTTACTCCCTGTCTTAGCTATCGTATGTATTTCCTTAGTATTAAGTCTAATCTCATTCATCACAAAAATAAATTATAGTATCGCTTTGCAAACTAAATGAAAATATGACACTAAACACAATAAGACGCAATGGAGAAAAAGGATTCAGGTAGCGACCCCACGTAGTGGGATTAAGGCTTTGTTGTTGTTGTTGTTGTAGTATCGCTTTGCACATTACCCTCTTTTGTAACACTTATAATTTCCTCAAAATCATTATAAACCTTCATAGTATTTAACATTTAGAACTAATTAAAAGCACTATTTTTCTTCAATAACCTTTGTACATCCTCACTTCACCTAACAACCTATCTTGAAACACCAATCACCTCTTACCTTTCAAGTTTCACAATAAAACAAAGGCAATTATTTGTTTCAATAGTTACTTTGTTTTTTTAAGACGTGTTTTGAAATTTTCTTCTAGAATTATTGTAAGTAATGCTTGAATTTTTTTCTCTCTCCTTTTACGTATGACAGCGTCCATCTATTAATAACTCTAATGTTGAAAGTCACACTTTATCCCCTATTTCAAACCACCATTATCATCTTATAAATATCTTACTAGAACATGCCCATCTACCACCACTAATTAATCTTTCTTTGATTCACTTAAGTTATATTATGACAATTTCTTCCCAAATTTGTTTTTCAAAGTTCTTCTAATACAACAAGTTCTCAACACTGATAATATTCATAAACTTCCCAAAAAAGAACTTAATAACTATCATCCTTAACACTTACTCTACTAAACTAAATAAATTCATCTTTTAACTCTTTGTCCACAACTACAACTATAGCATACAAAATTTACCAATGACTATGGATTTTACCAATTCAATTTCATTTCTTGCAAGCAAATGCTATTTATTTATTTTTTAATTATTAGGTACACCAATACATGGAACATAATTTTAGTAGTGGTAGCTTTAGTAGAAGAGTTGTAACCATGAGTGATCAAATCATTAAAAGTTGTGAAAGTTTTAGATATCTCGGGTCGGGTCTATGTCTATTGTTCAAAGTGTTGGTGATATAGATGGGGATGTTATTAGTAGAATTCAAGTTGGTTGGTTGAAGTGGAGGAATGCATCGGGCTTATTGTGTGATAGAGAAGTACCGCTTAGGCTAAAAGAAAAATTTTATAAGTGGTGGTGAGACCTGCAATGCCCTATCGCGCATAATGTTGACATTTAAAAGAGAAGCATAAAACAACGTTAAGTGTTGTTGAGATGAGAATGCTTAGGTGGATGAGTGGCTTGGCCCTTAAGATAAAATGCGAAAAGCATATATTCATGATAGGGTTGGTGTAGCTCCAGTGGCAGACAAGATTAGAGAGAGTCATCTTAGATGACTTAGTCACATTAAACGTCAACCATCTGATAATCCGGTTAGGAGAATATATGTTTTATATTCAACTTATGTTAAGAAAGGTAGAAATAAACCAAGAAAGACAAGTAGGTTGTATAAAAAATGATCTTAATGTATTAGAATCAAATGAAAGTATGACACTCAATAGGACTCAAAGGAGAAAAAGGATTTATACAACTAACCCCACTTAGTGGGATTAAAGCTTGTAGTCGGGCAAACTCCACACCAAAAATAGTGCCGACAGTATTAAACTTGTCATTCAAAGAATCTAACTTCCATGCAACAACTAGTTTTTATTTATGACTTAATTAACATTAAATTAAAGTAGTACTTTTGATAGAAAATTTTAGTCGTATGACATATAGGGGTGTCAAAAATTGACTCGAGAAGCCAACTCGACCTGAACTAGACTCGAAAAATCTAAGTTTGGGTTGACCTAAATTAATATTAGGTTGGGTTTGGGTTAAAAATTTTAACTTTAATTTTTCGGGTCGGTTTTGGATTGACCCAACAACCCAAGATTGACCTGAAACTGATTCTGTCGACCCTAAATTGACTCGCCAACTCGAATTTGAACCGGGATTGACATGAAATTGACCCCAATAGATGTTATTCCCCATGTTACATAGGTTATTCGAAGATGGTGGGTTGAAGAAGGGTTCAAATTCGGGTTGGACTTTTTAACCCGTTTAATATTCGAGTCAAGTTCAAGTCAAGGTCAAACCATTTCAGGTCAAATCCAAACCCGACATGCAAACCCGATTTAACACCCCTAATGGCAAATTAAAAATTTAAAAAAATATTTCAAGTTTTACAGTGGGTAACAAGAATAAATGGAAAATAGAAATATTTCGGGGTGAATTATATACATATTTCAAATAGTAATTATGGAACGATAGTCTGAAAATCTTTAGATTGAAAATTTAAAAGAACTAAATATAAATTTTATAAAAAAATCAACTCACCGAAAGCAAACACTAATAATAAACGTTGCTTGAGGATAAACTGCAAAAATATGCAAGTTAAGAAATCTTTAGATGCATGTTCGCAATAAAGCATAGCAAGTCACCAAGATGTTCTATAAAAGACATTCCATCTTCTCAAGAAAATAATACAAGCATATATAAAATAACTAGCAGTTAATAAATGCCGAATAGACAATTTATTTTACAAAACAAATGAAATGGCTAGAAAATGGGCATCACCTTTTCCTACAACCCTTCAATTGGATTTGCGTGCACAATAATCAATTAATTTACTTCTCAACGACTGCATCAAATATCGTTATAAAAAGGTTCAAACGAAGATGTATAGATTTAAGGCTTGGAGTCCAAATGGGATACCTATTAAGAATTGGAGGGATATGGATAACATTGAAGTAGTTTATTTAAGCAAATATTTTTGATAGAGTAATGAATAATAAAAGAATGTCAGTTTACTTGAAAAGTACTTCAACACTAATATTCAAGAACAAAGATATACTGCAGATTGTGTTAAAAGTAAGACAATAGCATGTATGAACCATACAAGAAATTACGAAGAAGGATAACGGAACATAAGAGTCCCAAAAATTGTGTGAAAACCACATAATCAATAACTATTTGCTAGAAAGATCAACTATGGCCATGACTTTTGTATGATAAATCAATGAGTAGTGTTAAATGCGTTTGAGGAGTGACCAAGAGTTTGTGTGATTAAAACTTAAATGTACATAAGAGTATTATGCAATAAAAGAATATCACGAAGACTTAAACAAAAAATTAAATAATGCATAAAAAAAATGTAGGAAAATGCAAATGTGAATCTATGTTTATAGATATGAGAGTTGGCCATTAAAGACATCGCTAATAAACAAGTTGAGCATAGCGTAAATAGAATGTTAAGTTGAATGAGTGACAAAACTAAACAACAATGACTCATAAATAAGAAATGATTATCTAAAAGGAACAATGAATGCAAAATAACTTGACGATGAGGTAGTAAAAAAGCAATCTTAAGTGGTTTGGGCATTTACAATGAAGAGTAGAAGATTAACAAATGAAATAGATGAATAAAATTAATGTTCAAGAATAAGGAAGAAAAAAGGGTTGACAAAAAGAATTTGGATAGGATTTCTTCAAAAAATATTTGCACAAGACAAGTTTAACACCACATGAGACACTCAATAAGAGCTTTAATGATGATGGTGGAGCTTGGGGCTTGTTTGGCTCAATGTTATATGGATATAAATATTATCTAGATAATAGTGCTATTTATATAACAATATAATCTACAAAAAGTGCATTAATGATGATAGCGAAGCTTGGGGCTTGTTTGGCTCATTGTTATATGGATATAAACATTATCTAGATAATAGTGCTATTTATATAACAATATAATCTACAAAAAGTAGTGTTTTTAGTTCAATATTATCTACTTGAACAATGCAATGTCATTTAGAATGAGAAATATTCTAAATGCTATTTTTTTAGTTTATTTTATCCATGAGATAACAAGACATCAAAATTTTGACCATTTTTTATGATATTTTATTGTCATTAAAATAATACTTAAAGATTATTTATTAAATTACAATATAAAGATGTCACCAAAACAAAACAGTTAGACATCCGCTTATAACATACATTACATTACCATTGTCAATAAATCAAACAACTGCTTAAACAACAAATTTACGTCGAACAACAAAGATTCTCTATCAATTAATCGTACAAAATTCTAATTCTCAAACACCTACATTTAAAAGCTAAACAGAAAGCAAGTGCTAATTGATGATCTCAAAACACAAAGATATCATATCCCACCAAAAAAAAAAAAAAATACAGGTAATTTCCTTGCATATAATAAAAGTATAACAACTAAAACGAAAATAAGATGAGATCAAAGGAGGGTAGAGTTTGAGGTGATGGTGGAAAAATCATTGAGATTTAAGTACCAATTCAAAGAACCTAACCTTCCATTCTTATGGGGTACAACAGCAGCATGCTGTCGAGAAACAGACTGATGATCTAACACAAAGTCACAAGTATGAACCTGTCTCCCAAATATATGCCTCTTCTTATCCAAATTGATTCTGTCAAGCACATCCCCATCTTTCATCACTTCTAGGTAATAAACACCTGAGCGGGACTCTATTGCCCAATCTGGAGGTTGCCATGTTGACTGACCTCCGCCAAACTGAGTAACAGGTTGGGCCGGAACCACGACTTCGGCTGTTGCAGCTCTTGTTGCGTTATGTCTTTGATTCTGAACTTGGATCTGATGGACCGAGTTTTCATGATGGTTAAGCTGCGCCGGTGCTTGATTATTTCCTTTAGGAGAGGAAATACCAGAAGAAGAAGAATTGGGGGCAACTGAGAATGGCTCCAAAGACTGGGCTTTCTTAAATCTATCGAGACCCCCTCTGTACATCTCCTTATCTTCTTCAAACTGAAAGGGGAATTAACATCCGAAAAATCAAACCAAACTAGACCATTTCTTCCAGGAGAACTGAAAGATAGACCTACAGTCACAATGGGAAAAAAAAAAGATATATTCGTTCAAACAAAAAACTCAATTTGATTCCGAACTTAACAAGATTACTATTGGTGAAAACGGAAAATACCTAGTATTTTGTAGAAAAACTCATTTCAAAAATCAAATCCAAATCGGGAAATCGCCACTTCTGCAACTCCCTGAAAACCAAGTTTACAATCATAATCGGAATTAAAGCGGTAACACTAATCGACAGAAAAATTCAACTGTAAACTTTCCGTTGATCAAAAGAGACCAACAATATGACTAAACCATGACATTTTAGGCGAAACCATCGGTGATTTTTGAGAACGCATATCTCTCAATCGAATCGGAAGGAGGTCCAAACAAGCTTCAATTCTAGGGTTTCCCTAGAGTGATAGTGGAGCGGCGAGAAGTAGAGATTACTAGAGAGGTCAGCAGAAGCGAGGTGACGATGTAAATGCGAGTCTAGCCCTGAATGGCTCTTTTCACAATCGCATTGTTGTTCTCCATATTCCGACATTTGCAGATCTATTACTTATTGAAATTAAAAGGTTTCCTAAAATTTAGGTCGTTTTGGATTGTAAGAATTTGGAGAGTTGATGGGGTTCAATAAGGGCCATTGGAGTTTCTCATAGAAGTGATTATAAAGTTATTACAAGCAAATTAAATGTTGAATGCTATGAATCACATTCAATAAATAGAGTGTAAGACATGTGAAAGACATAGAACAATATGCATAATAATGAATAATAATTTGAATTGTTGGTTAGTCCTTTCTAATAAAATAATTTCTCTATTTATAGAGAAGGGGTACAATATATGAAATTACATGTTTGTCCTAGTTTTAATGTGGGCGTTATAAAATATTGTAGGTACTTTGCATATATAGGCTTATGAGTTGGCTACTATCTAACTCGGATGGCTGAAAGCAGTAGGTCTCGGGTCGACAAGACTAGTTTGTTCGGCTCTGTCGGATCGGTGTTGCCGATTAGCCTTTGATGGTCTTTGAGTGGGCAATATTTGGCTCTATCTACTTAGTTCTAATGGCTGACTATTCTAGTTTGACTATCGACCATTAATTCCTGGATGAGGAGTTCCTGTTGGTAGAATCAAACTAGGCTATTTGATAGGGGTGAATCACAATAATCTTATAAGTAACTCATTTCTTGAAGGAGGTTCTTTGAGATGTTCATTGATTATGTTATTGCCAATTCTTAGCCCCTAATGAGGAATAGGGTGTTCGTGAGATGGCTGACGATACTTACTCTTCGCTTGAGTTTGGTTGTAGCGAGATGTAGGTTGATAACTATGCTCTGCTTGATTAGCCTTAGCCCTCGGTTCATATGGCCTACGTCTGGTCGACCTCTAAACCCAATTTAGGGGGTTGCATTTAGTTAAATGGGTCCTTTAGTCTTTCGACAATAGGCCCTCCTCGAGATTCATGTTGTCTTATTTCTGATGTACTCTAAACCATTCAGCTTTTATTCATTTATTAAGATAATAAATTTATTACAATTAACACATATTAGTAGATCTAATTATGAGAAGTTATTTCTCATCATAAAATTTTTTTGGAAGCAGCAAGAAAGTGACAATGATCAAACATAGACGCAATAGTGATTTAAAAATTAACACAACCATAATTTCGATACAACATCCCCAAAGAAGTAGTGCTCTTTCTCATAGGTTGGATATCCCTTATATATGTGTGGGAGAAGTGTATAAAAAAAAAGGAATCAAATCAACATGAATATCGATGGTTATTTTCTCTCTTGTTTTCAAGCTCATTTTAATTTCTATGATTTTTTTCAATTAGTTAGAATATAAAACCTTTAGTTTTGGGGGTCTACCATCACAACCAGGCCATTTATAAGCGAAGTAGGAAAATTAAAAAAAAAATATTTAAGACGCATAAAATAGCACATCAAATAGAATAAGCAAACACGACACATAAATTTAAAAGAGAATGTTTCAGCTTAGAAATATATGACAATATACCCCAAAAGTCTAAAATAATGTAAACCAGAGTTCTGTCTATATACAATCATGCCTAATCATCTGAAACATAGGCCATTGAGACTTCAACTTTGTCTTCAAGGTTATTTATCATGCCTAATCATCTGAAACATAGGCCATTGAGACTAATCATCTGAAACATAGGCCATTGAGACTTCAGCTTTGTCTTCAAGGTTATTTAGTCTTCAAGGTTATTTATATTCATCAGGAATCTTCAATATTATCAAGTTCATCTTCATTTATAATAATACTATCAAAATTTTAATTTTTTTATTTTTAAAAGAAAATAAAATTATTTTTGTTTAAAATAAAACCTAACTAGCAATCCCTTCAAGACAGATATTAGTAAAATAATTGAATTCAAACACAAGCATGCACATAGCCTAACACTTTTAAATTCCAAATCATATGCCATATTGTTCATGCTTATTGACTTGCATTTTTAGGATACCATGTGTAGGCAAACACAATTAGTTTGAACAATTTTACTAATTTAATTTTTGCCGAACTAAACATGATTACTTACAAAAATAGCTATTAGGGCCAATAATCTTTTTAATTCATAAATATTTATTTTCTTCATGACATTGAATGCATCTTGCCCATAACAATAGTAAAATCACAACCAAACATAATAAATAAACAATGCAATCCTAATCTTGATCTAAGTTAGTGGTCCAGCTAGCAAATACAGTGTGTTATGTCTATGTGGTGAGCCTCTATTGGACTTTGATATTTTAATTTTAATTTGGCATTAAACTCAATTTTTCTCAAACAACCAAACATAATAAATAAACAATGCAATCCTAATGTTGATCTAAGTTAGTGGTCCAGCTAGCAAATCCAGTGTGTTATGTCTATGTGGTGAGCCTCTATTGAACTTTGATATTTTAATTTTAATTTGGCTTTAAGCTCAATTTTTCTCAAAAAATGATTTTAATTTAAATGATTTTTATTTTAAGGGTTCATATCTAATTTCAATTTAGCTTAAATTTTATCTAATTTAAGATTTTGAAGAGTTTCAAGAGCTAGTGGAATCATCATGGGGTGGTTCTTTACCACTCCTAACACACTATACTTATTAAGATAACCAACCCACCAAAGTGGTAAGGTACATTTTATAATTTCTAAGAGGTTTTTCTTTTTAACTTCTATTACTATGTGACATTTCATCCAATCATTCTTTTATTGTTATTCATTATTCATATGCCCTGTACATGTTGACACAGAAGATTTTAATTTGTTTTAACTTAAATCTACTCCAAATTTACATGAAATTGATCTTGATAATTAAAGATGATCTAAGAGACCATTCATAAAATTAAAACTTAATTTGAATTTTTTAAATTTATTATCATTTTTTAATAATTTTTGAAAGAAAAATTAAAGTAATACACAAGTATCATCTTAAAACCTTATAAAAATACTCTCTCAAGTCAAGGGTGATCATAGAACATCTCCATAAAAGTGGAGGAATATCTGGATTATATTGAATTTTTATAATTTTTATAATATTGTAAGATATAATATTAATTAAAAAAATTAAATTAAATCCAAAAATAAGAAAAATCATTCGACAAGCTAGTGATTTTTTAATAAATATGACTTCTTAATGTTCCAAAAAAAAAGAAAAATAAATATGCTTCTTAATGTTCCCATAAAACTTTGGTGTCCTTCAATGTGATTTGTTTTTCTAAATAATTTTTAAATTAATTTTAAATTAATTTTTTTAAATATAAATTAATCAAAATAAATTTGAAATCATCAAGGTGGCCTTAGAGAATCATTTGGTATTTTCATTAAAATTTTAGAATTATTTGAACAAATTTATTTATTTTTTTAAATTTATTGAATTTATCATTATTATTTTAAAAATAACTTTGTAAATTTAATTTGATTAATTTTAATATTCTTATTTTAAGTTATCAAAGGAGACAATGAAATTTTAATTTATTTTTTATTAATCTTGTTTTAATTTTCTTAATAATTTCTTAATTTTTTGACTAATTACTATAGCTGTTTCATTATTATTAAGATAATTTTAGTTTTATGTGAGTTATCAAAGGAGACAATGAAATTTTAATTTATTTATTTTTAATCTTATTTTAATTTTTTTAATAATTTCTTAATTTTTTGACTAATTACTAAAGCTCTTTCATTATCATTAAGATAATTTTAGTTTTATGTTTAATTAATTAAGATCACTGAAGTAATTGACCTAAAACTAGAAGATAACCTTAAGAATGACTTCATGAAGGTTTAAAATTTGCTTAGAAACTTTAGGTATCGTCTTTTTTTATTAAATTTATTTAATATAAAATTGATTTAAAATTATCAATACCCATTTAAGTTCATTCAAATCACTTTACAAAATTCTTAAAGGTCACTTATGACCAAACGAATCTTCCTATGAAATTGTGGTTGATTTAAATAATTTTTTATGTAATTTTACTTAATTTTATTTTAGCATTTCTTTAATTCATTTAAAATTGTTGGATAAAAATTGGAGTTTTATTTTTCTTATAATTTTTCTTATTTCTTAAATTAAAAAAAATTATTCATAAATTTTTTGGTTTATACTTGATTCTATATGAATTTTTAAAGTATTGTATGGTTTTCTTACGGTTGTAGTTGACTATTAATAGATTTATAAATCCAATGCTAAAACTATGCTACACTTTTCATGTGGCATGTAAGGATTAGATAAATGTTAGACCACAACGATCAAATGACTCATATTACACCTATATTTTAACTTTAGGGTCGTATGGTTTTCTAAGTAGCAAGATCAATTCTATTCATTTCAAATCATGAAAATAGACGATGATCTAACCTCTTGCTAGGGGTTGTCCATTGAAATTTCATGAATTTAAGTGATCCAATGACAATATTCTAAACTTCTAAAATTCAAAATAATTAGAAGATTTTAAAGGATCTAACCTATGGTTGAGTTGACTTAGAAAAGATGTTTGATTCACAAAGATCGAAATAAAAATGTGCTAGAGAGGATAATTGAGGATTTCCTTTGTGCAACTAATTTGGTTATAGGATTGACAATTTCCTAAGTTTTATTTGGATTGAAGGAGGAGCATTCTGAAGACTATAGCTTCTAGGAAGGCTTGAGTTACTTGGTTGACTAACTTTAGAAAGATCTTACTAGAGTTTGATGTTTAGTGGACTTAAGAAGCCTCATAGAAAAGGGGAAGCATGGGGAAATTTTTTGAGTTATGGAGAGTTGGAAGAGTGTATAAAATTAAAGAATTTTTTCTTGGAGTATTTGACTTGTAATTCCCATTATTGTGGCTGCGCCCAACTTAATCTGGTAAGGCAATGACCGTCTAACCCTGAGAGCTCAAGGATGAAAGTTTAAGATAAATTCAAGATACCAACTATTGTTTGAGCAACTTGAGTAGCAAGATGTGTGATGGTGAGGTGGCGAGGACCACCTTGCTTTCAAGTGAACCAAAGGAAGCGACAACTATCATGAGTACTAGTCACACTTAGTGTGGGTAGACTCTAACGGTCTAAAGGTGACTTTATGGGTGGATCCAATTTGGTGAGGTTGATTTAATTGAGTAAATTTAAAAAAATAATGGC